TTTCTGGTGGGAACCCTGATAAAGATCTTGATTAAAGAAAACATACTGGATGATACAAAACTGGTGCCTTCCCTTATATCAACTGAAGAATCTGAATTGTCCACAAAATACAGCCATCATTGACATGCTCAGAACAAAAATTTCAAAACTTTTTATTTTGTGTATTTTTACTGGTATAACTTCTTAACTGATACCAAAATACATCAAATTAATAACAAATCTATAAATGAACAACTGAGATAATTGACATATTTGCATAAATAAAAGTGAGGATTTGTGTATTCTGTACAATATACTATACTAAGTATACAATTTAATGTAGTATGTACTGCCCATATATATACTGAGCAGGTAAATTCTCCTGAGGTGACAGACATGTTGTTGTACTTTTTGAAAGCAGAATGTGCATGTAGTTTTACAAGCTCTCCAAGAATTAAAAGTACAATGTAAATTAAATCAGAAAGTTTCTGTTAACATAATATTACGTCATTGTTATTATTTATTTCTTATAACTTACCTGAAATGTTTGCAGTTGAACAGGATTTCAAGAGTTTTATATTATGTCCAATATGTATTTTCAGCTAGGCTTTCAATTATATACCTATTCATTTGAAATTCCAAACTTTAAGTTTCATTTTGTGAATACTTTTTACCTTAAATTATTCTATGGGCATTTCTTAGAATCTTATTTATAAATTATAACTTAGAGATGTAAATGTACATTGTTGAATTTTGTTTACTTTTTAAGGGATAGTGTGACAAAGCGATTGTTTACATTGCTAACTTTCCTACTCACAACTGTCAGTTCTGAACACTTATATCTTAATGATATTTTAAAATGAAGTAATAACAGTTCTTTTACATCTTAATCTGTGCTGAATTATGTTCATTGTTAAAGCTACCAAGAAATTTCTAAGAGTATGGCACACCATTCACTGTCTCATGTCTTCCATGGAGTCCTTTTGATGAATGTGGAAATGCTGCCCTCTGGTGTTGTAAATATTGGGGGTGAAGATCCCAACTATTAAGCAATAGTAACTGAGTTCATCGATTCCTTGCATACTGTAGTTAATACAACAAGTATAACATTGCTTTACAAGTTCAAATATTTCAAAAATAAGCAAAAATGTTGGAATGCAATCTTATAATTTATAATTATAAAGATGCACCTGAAACCAAGGAGAAGTATTCAATATTAATTACATTCCGAGGAGCCTGCCTCAACAATGGTGCTGTCCTTGATGTTATTTGGATGTTTATTATGATTCACCAAGTGATTAATATAAAGATGTTCTTGATAAATGTAGGTCTTGCATTGTTTCATGTATGATGCTTCATTTAATCAATCAATAATGATGGTGACTTTACAATTATTTAGTCATAAATCATTTAATTTTAAAAATAGGGGCTGATCAAGTGTTCTCTGTATTGTGAACCAATATAGGCACTTTGTTGACAGAAAGATGGCGTCGCAGTAGTGGTCTATGTAGATCATAATATCACACATACATTTGAAAAATGTTTTCAATAAATGTGAATATAATATCTATCTTGCAGAGATTACAGAAATTTTGCACTTTGATCTTAAATAACTAACATTATTTCATATCTCCAATCTTTTTAGTTTGGAAGATGCATTTGGGATGGTAAAGAACATATTGGTTGATGAGTTGTATATCATTGACAAATGAGTTCAAGTATATGGTTACCCAATCTCACGATTGTGAATGCTTATGCAAATTATTTTTAGAATGTCACCACCAGCTAGAAGTTGTTCGATATTGTTATGGTCTCCAACTTTTTTGTGTATGATGTTAGGCACTTTGGGGTTCGGCGTCTGTAACAAATTCTTACAACTTCTTATAACTTCTTATTTTGTCATGTTAATGCCTTTAAGGGTAGAAGCCTGTCAAACACAGTGGTTTCATTTGTTAACTTGATTGTACCTTAAATTTATTACTTTGTTCTGGTGAAGGTATAGTTATTTAGCAATTAATGTGTGCTGATTAATTTAATTTTCAGAAGTACACATGTACATACATGTAATAACCACAATTAGTCCTTTATAAACTTAAGTTAGGCAGAATGGAAATACTGAGACTTTTTGTTCATGGCATGTTGTCAGAATGAAAGTCTACATATGCAGGCCTGTAGCCAGGGTGGGGGGGACTTGTACCCCTTCCCTGACCAAAAATTATTTCAAAATCACAAAGTTCTTCATCATTCTGAGCACTTTTCAAGTGGATTTAGTCATCTTTTGGCCAAAGTTGTCAAAAGTGACCCCCCTGGAATTTTTAAAAAGTGAACCCCCTTGGCAAATCCTGGCTACAGAATTTAATTGTAATTTCTCGCAACAAGTGAAATGAATAAGAATTACACTGACAGGCAAATTATTGGAAATTATTATTTCCATGGAAACAGTTGTGAAATTCCTCAAACCAAAAACCTAGAACCAGAGAAAATAGTCTGGATTGCGTGTTGTTTTTTGGAACCCCTGAAAATATATAAATAATGAATTGCAATTGATATTTTCGATGACAAGCAACAAAAGGAAGTAGAATTTTAGAAATTGTTTCATATTTTCATGTAATAGCCTCCTTAATATTCAGTCTACCCTGCCTTAGTGCCTACCTTAATGAGTACATGCAGAGGTGCATAGAGTAGTCTTGATATATGTCTATAAGAACATGTCTGGTATAGATATTGATAAACAATTATAATTGATGTATTTTTTAAGAAGTGAAATTATAAGTTATCAATTTGGCTAGACATTGAGAGTTCAATGCACTCGACATATGTTTCACAAACAAATCTCTTGAAATTTTTAATACACGTGTATCATTTTGCAAGAATTTTGAAAGTACTAGGTAAAAATATCTGACATGAATTGACATGAAGAAAAACACTGCCCAGGGGAGTGGTTCATCTCTAAGATATAATTTTATGTTTGAGACTCATGGGTGTAACTAGGGGGAGCAATGGTGCGATCCCAAACCCCCACCCCAACAAAAAAATAAAAAGGCAATTTTGTGTATTTTGTTCAAGGCACACTGTACTTCAGAACCGATAAAATGGCTTTAGAGTCGATTTCATGGTTTAAATTAAAACCTTCTCTATAATTCTATTTTCGAAATATGCATGAAGGTCCATTCAAAGTTTTCTATTGAACCTTGAAGAGCCATATTTTGAAAGGTGTTCACGACAACTTCCAGCTCATCTTATTAAGATGAACGGGAAGTGAATTTTCGAGTCGAGTAAATGGTGATTATGTTCTTTTTATGAATCAGGGAAGTCAAAACATTACAAATAGAAGTCATAGTAAGCATTTGAAGTTCATTTAGAAGCATTTAAAATTGAATCCACGGCAAAATTTGAAAGAATTGAAATATTTCCACGCCGACATCAGAGAGCACACTTCTGGTTTATAATTGATGATTTTATTGCTCAAAACAATATTTTTATGAATTTGTCCCATATCTGCTGAGATATGGTATGTATACTTGTGTTGATTGTTAATAGGTTGGGCAAAGAATATGACAAAGTTGTTTGATCTCGTCCCAGAAGCAATATTTTGTTATTCCTATTGCTCAGAATTCCTTTAAAAAACTTAACACATTATAGTTTGAAATGCTTAGAATGCACCATATACAATGTAAATTTAAAAAAATTCTGTTTTTTGGGGCTCACTTCGCTTGCGATGATGCAAACTCCCTTGACATTTGCACCCCCTTGACATTTGCTGGCTACGCCCCTGATACTGATATCTTGGAATTTGATAATTTGGTTTAAGAGTCTAAGTTGCCATTTGTGATTGTATGTGGTATGAATATTAAACCAATTATAGAAATAAAAAATTGTCATGGTCGAAACTGAGATATTAAGTAGCAGGTGTTCAAATTCATAAGTTTGATCTAAATCAGTCATGTAAAATTAAAATACTGATTCTTATCATATCGATAACTACAATGTGGCTTGTAAAAAATTATTAACCAAAACATAAGTTATCCATTCTGCGGAATATACCCACAATCTCATGTAGCATGATATCATTGATTGAATCAATAAAGAAAATAACAATCATAAATGTGTTTCTAATTTATATTACTAATAATTATTTTTAATGTCACTTGAAATAACAGCAATGTGTCACATGCCTATGGGTTCAATCAAACTGTTAGATTGTAACAATAGAATTCAATATCTTGAAACTTATGAAGTTTTCTGAATAAACAAGATATTTGATATGTTATATTTGCTAAAGAATAGGCTTATTTGCAAATTAATATAACAAATGTAGATGGAGATGTGTTATATGACTGCTGATAAAATGTTGATTGTTTCATATATGGTTACCCTTCACAATAACTTGACTCCATCTGCACTCTTTAAAAAAGAAATGGTTTGTTGATTTCGATTTTCTGCCAATAGTACAGTTCTCTTCACATTTGAACTGCCATAAAAGTCCAAAATCCTATGCAAAGGGTAGTGCAGCATATGATTATCCTGAGCCCAGAGGAGAGTAAGTGTGTATACAAACAAAGCTCTCTGTCAGAGTCTGTGAAGTCAAACAAATGCAAAGGGTAGCATTTGATTGATGGTTAAGCATGAATACATATTACTGTGTCCTGGTTTATATTGTAGTTTTATTACTTACTTAGTATTTAATAGATCTAATAGTGATTATTAGAAAATGCTGATGCAGTGAATGCTAATCAATTCAAAGTGTATAATTTAAGTATTTTAGTTGCCCCTCCCCCCATTCTTTAACTCTCTGTGGCCAGGAAAGTATATTTGGGAGGGAACCAGGGACTTGATGCAAGAGTTATAATTGCATACATTTACCAGTCTTTCTCAAGTTCTGATTGACCCTGATATGGAAAACCAACCATTTTATCCATATTGCTGTACTCAGACCACCAATTTAATTTTCATTTATTGGGAGATTTGGAAACCATACTGAAACCTCATTCAGTTTTGTAAATAAACAAACACATATTTAATAGATTTGAAAATATAATATAATTTTATTGAATAAATCTAAATTACAGCCATCACCCTGCATGCAAAATCTAACATACATTTTTGGTGATACATTCAATAATTACAAAAAGAAGCATATTTAAACCATTGATTGATTTCCAGAATGCTGCGTTTCCTCACAATCATCATACTGTCATACATGATACAGTCTGTCACAATATTATAGTGAGTCACAATAATGGTGAATCACAATCACAGTTTGTCACAATCACCACATGTGTCGCAACTGTCATGGAAAGGTAGGATCATATTTAGATGTCATGTACATTTTATGAGCTACTCACATATCCATATATTTATTATTTGCACATTCCTTTTAAAAGATTATATTTGCACATTTCTAGAGTCACTTTGAAATTATATAGGTCACTTTTTATTTAACTTTTTCCCTCCAAAAAGGGACTGGCAATGCATTAATCGGTCAATGCCTACTATCCCCAAACATGTAATTGAGAGAATTAATTGAATTTTGAATTTAAAAGCTGGTTCCTCAAAACATAACCCCCTCTCCCTATCTTTAGCATTGGTTTTGTGTACATGGGAACATTGACCTTAGTACTATCCCTGAATTGGAATACATAAGTCTATTACATCTCAATGTAGCGAAAAAGGGGACACATACATAAATTAGGAGTAGACATTATGCCTCAGTTCCCAACCCCCTGACCTATGATGAGGAATATTATTACGGGAGGAGGGGGTTCATGAAACTTGATGTATGCGTTAAGTTTTGACTGGTTGCTGTTTGTCATGTAGAACGTTTATGAATCTCACATTATGTTGTCTTAATTTTAATTTTTAATAAAAATATAAGTGGTAAAGCAAGAAGCAACCCACCAACTGTGTAACATATGAAAGGACCAACTGACCAATATATTGTGGAAGCTACCATTGGGCCTATAGCCCTGGCCAGTGCCCCCAGTGACCGGAATATACCCAGAATGACACCCTTTTGGTCCTCAGTGCCATAACTTGAGATGAGAGTTGTTAGACATGGCACAACTGTGGCTGAGGCAAATGAGAATAACGCCAATCCTGTATATAATATGGCAGTAGAGCTTGCGTATCCTATTAATATAAATGCGGGGATGAGCAACACAAAGCCTCTCACTGCAATTTTCTTTTCAGTTCCTGGTTTAAGACGTCTGATGTAGCCACCTTGGACGACTGCCATGATGATACCGATGAAGAAGAACATTTTACCCTGCTGCATGCTATCGTAGTTGAATGTGTTATGAGTGAGGAATGTAAGCGTGAACTCAAGCCCGGAATACAACAACAGGTAGGCAAAATATACTCCTCCTATTTGACGCATGGCTTTTAAGTCCTGGGGTGTATTGGTTTGCACGGCAGAGAAATTGAATAATGACACAGGGTTGATAAGATAGGAGACCTCTTGTACGCTACTTGCCATTGAAGATGCCCTCTTTTCAGCAGGTAGAGTCTCTTTGAAACATACTGCAATAAACACAATGTCAATAATGGCTAATGTTAATGCGAATAGGGCAGGACCTAGGAAAAATAGTTCTTCTTGTTCCCGTACCCTTTTGGCAAAATAAGCTCCGATCAGTGGTCCTATAAGGAATCCTATGGAGAACGCAATACCGACCATCGCCATACCACGTCCCCTGGTTTTACGTGTGGAAACATCAGTGACGACAGCAGTACTTAAACTCACATTTCCTTTACTTATGCCGCCTACTATTCGAGCAATGACGAACATGGTGAAATTATTCGATATTGCCCACAATGCATAGGATAAGGCAATCCCAAGCATATTGAGCAAAAGGACAGGTTTACGTCCATATACGTCCGACGCTGCTCCATAAACGGGTGATGTCACAAATTGTAGCAGCGAAAACATTGATCCCAAAATTCCACCGAATAATACAGAATTCCATCTCGGGATATCAGGAGCGCCAACCAGTTGTCGGAATCCGTGTACGGAATCTTTGAGCGAGTTGTAAAGCCCGTCTTTTCCATCTTGCCCATAGTAGTCTAGGAGTGACGGCAACAAGGGAAGGATCATTGTGAATGCCAATAAATCAATCAGCAGGCCAAAGAACACAACATAAATCATTTTGTCCATTTTTCCTTCAGATGGCTTTTCTGAATTTTGAGTGGAATCCTTTTTTCCATTCATATCTGCGGAATGTAGTGGTTTTCGTTGCATTTTTAAATCAGAGTATGTCTATGATCATCAAAGTCCAGTCGGTCTGTCTTTGAATATCAATAATAGTGTTGATCAAGTCAAGAGCCCCTACACGCTGAAGAAAATGCAATAAGTTTGTTATATTAAGGCTTTATACAATTTATACTGTGTGGTTATGCTGAACTCCTGTGCAAACAATAAGATCTGTCGTATAAGCTGTTTGACATGAACTATAGTATATAATATGTTACCCGAGGCAGCTATTTTAGTTCTACAAAACACATGTGACCAATATTGGCCAATTATATGTACATATATATTATTAATTACTCTGTGTACAATGATGGCCTGTTTATATGGGGACATCAAGTCCAATTTGCCTCTCTGATATACTTGTATGTCTGCAATGTGTAGTATATCTGACCTTTACTGTCAAATACCTGATATACATGTAGATTTATCTAGTTACTAATCTGTTTATCATGTGTCTTATTCAGTTCATTCTGTTACTTACAGGTGATTATTAGTACCCGTCTCTCCTCCAGAAATCATATAAAATACATTAGTCATGATTCTCACGACTTCCTCAAAATTTACTTTTAGGCCTTCAACTTTGCCCTTTTATTACTTCTTAGTAGTACATAGAGAAACCTGCTAAAAGTTTGGACTGAATAACTTAGAAGCATATAAGTGCACTGCTATGTGCTATATAAAGTTTAAATCTCTTATCCATTACTCTGTATGCGCTCTATTTATATTGGCTTATGAAACCCTTACAAATTATTTAAGTTTCACTTGATTATAGATATTACTTCAGTGCATTGTTTGTACAACTGTGAGTTTTGTTGATATTTAATAAGTCTCACATCAAAATTGGTGATTATTTGTTATTCATAAATGGAATTTTAGTAATAACAGACATGGCGACAGATTGATGTTATTATCTCTAAGATTTTAGAATATGCCTGAAGTGACATCTATCAATAAATGAATCATTAAAAGTATACATGATTCTAATTCAGTGATAGATGACACGCTTTCCTTTTTTCAGCCCATTTTGGATCTGTAAGTTTTTGCTTAACTGTCCAAAAATTCATATAGAAAGAAACAAAGTAGCGATAATATTTTATAATACATACATGAAGTTTATTTTTTGTCTCTAAAATCCACATACTGCAATACAAAAGGATAGAAATGTCATTGAACAAAACAGTGAATTTTCAGAATAAGTTACACTTTCAATCACTTATGTCACTTGATTAAAATTTGCTGCCATAATTGTATACTTGACCAGCCCATGACATACTAGCTTACTACCATTTTCAGATTTTAGAAACAAATTGTGTTTGTGTATGTTAAAGGATCAAAATGTGTGAAAATATGGATGTACATGTATGTTTGTTATAGTCTACATCTTTTTTGTGGATGGTGTTCGGCATTCAGAGTTCAGTGGTTGGAGTTTGGTTTCGTTCTGTGTCTGTAACAATTTGTAATAACTTACAAGGTGGTGACATTTTGTCGTGTCAATGGCTTGATTGTTCTGAACCAAGAGCCTATACTGTAGTTCCACTAATAATTTAGATGAGAGTTAGGTAGTTACCAGTTCCACCACCAGGTGGCTTGTTCGGGTCAGATAGCATGGCGAGTATAGTAGAAAATTCCCTTTAACTAAAATATTTATCTGTTTTAGTGGTTCAATTTTCATATCTCCCTTATATCTAATAGTTATGCAAATTAAAATATGTCCAGTAAAAGTAAATGTTACCTGTCAAATACAAGAAAAGATATATCACTTATTGTGATTTTATAACATAGGGTCTATTGGGAAGCTCCCCAAACTAGAAGTCACATTTTCAAAAAAAATTAAATGTTCATGTGAGCCCAGTACCCACAGTACTATTTATAATAAAGTATCATTATTTCTGATATGATGATAAATATTGTGGATTAATCAGTTTCCCACAATATGTTTCTCCTTGTTTAGCATTCAACCCCAGGCCATTAAGTCTGCCGATTGTCTCCTCAAGAACATCACCATACATTATGCACTGCATTTCGTTTGCTATAGCCTTGATGTAAGTTATAGCACTTTGAACACCATCACTGCTTATATGCTTTGCCAATGCAGCATTGCTTGAACAGACTTCATGTACTTCAACAACCATGCCTTTCTGTTCATCATCAAATGCTTGAATAGCAAGTGTTACAACACCATTGTTGGTAGAAGTCACCAGGGCATCTAACTTCTCAAGGACTTGCTCCTGTTGATCTGTGAGTATCACAAGATGAAGCCTCAATGGTTTGCCATCTGTAGCTGGATCACACCAGAGTGCATCTTCATGAAGTATATAACCCTTTGTTAGTGCACGGACAAGTTCACCTTTGTATGGTTCTACAGCCTTCTTTAGCTTCTCAGAAGAATCACCTGAATATAAGTATTGTATGTTTTTATTATATGTTTTTAATAGTCACAAGGGGGTGTATCAATCTGTGCATTTGGTTTGCCATCTATAGATAAAGGAAAGTAAAATATATACTGACAAAGATTGGTTACTAGTACTCTGGATCATGTATAGTCAGTCAGGTCAAAATAATGTGTGTGAATATACAGGGTGACACAAAAACTGGAACCCAATTTGCTCAAATAACATTTGAAATATCCATAATAAGAACTTCTTCTTTGTATAAGTATCAGTGATCTCCCCAGGTTTTTTTCTCAAGTGGGTGCAAAATTCTCATTTTCACAATGCAGACCAAAATTGGTCAAAATATGCCAATTTTTCATGATTTTTCTCATTTTCTAGTGGGTACAAATGGATTTTCAGGTGGGTGCAAATGGATTTTCAGGTGGATGCAAGCCTATTTTCAAAATCTCAGGTGGGTGCTGCATCTGATCCACTTGATTTAATGCTGGGGAGATCACTGAGTATACTTTACTTTTTTTTAACACTTTCTAGAGTTTGTAGTCAATGGTTAACCTTATGTAGGAGATATAGAACATTTGAAAGGACTTTACCTTTATGAATAAATGATAGAAGATAAATGCTTACCTGTTATTTGTACAGTAATCTTGGATATCATCGACAGAGCAAGTTTCCCTTCCTCAGTTTTGGTATCAACCTCTACATGATCCAGGAAAGTTTCAACACTGTCGTAAACCTAGAAAATTATTGAATCTGTTTACTGTGTGGAATTGTGATAAAAATTTGTATATGTCCAAATGTGTCTCGCTCTGATGAGACTATTTAATCTCTGTGAAAATATTTTTCATGTCCATAGGTCTCACGAAATGCACTTTTGGACCATTTGCCTTAAAACCTCTTTTAAGTGATTCAAATTTGAAAAATACCATGTGACTCAATTGAGAAATGCAGAAAAATTCCGAACATGCACCGTGACCCTGGCCTTAACAAACATCACTTACAGCTATTTCATGTGCAGTTAATGTACTTGATTCTTTAGCCATATGTGCATAACATACACCAGGCCTATTTCTAAGGATTAAACATATATAGTTGTCAAGTATAGGTTGTCCATCTTTAAAGGTTGCCTCATCCTTGTATGTTAGCCAGGCTTCTATGAATAATGCAGGCATGGCTTAGTTGCTCAATTTTAGACTGCCTGTTTCACTGCTATGCTGTGTAGTATGTGTTGCACAGTAAAACATAAATTATAAAGTGTCTTAGATAACACAAGCTCAGGGTCATGATGACTCAATGTGTTGAAATCTATGTACAGTTATGTATATGATGAGTGTGTAAGAATTTGTTGTATGAAGATGCTCATTGAATATAAATGCCATGAGACTTTAGAAATGTTTAACTGATATAAAGGGAAGATTTAAGAGTATCATTTAGTTAAAACAAAACAAACCCCTTGCATGCCAGTGCCAAACAATGGGTTCATTCCTCATTAGGTTGGACTGACTTTTTCACATCAGCCCTTATTTTAGCGCAGGATTTAACTCTGTGTTTTCATTAACCAGTACTTTCTCCTTAGCAGAATGGCTCGTGGGAAAGACCATTTGACATTATGAACAGAGTGATTGACAACCTGGAAAGACAGGTAAAAGTAATATTGGGTCCAGGAAACTGGGCATATAAGTCAGAAATGGCAGCAATGATATATATAAGCAGTGTTGATATGGAAGGGTCAGTCGGTACTGGGGTCGCGGGTCCAATCACCACTTGGTGGAGTGACTTTTTCATATCATTTTTGGCCCTTAGAAAAATAAGCAAGCATGATAAAAGTTAATATGTTCTTGATGTTTTTTCCACAATATTGGTTCAGCTAATTTAAACGTTTTCAAGATGAATTTAGAATGTAAGTGCTATGAGTAATAGAACTAATAGGTATTCATCTTTTATGCAGTGACTATTCATAAATGTTATTTACATCGTAAAATCCAGTTTAAACTTCGTATAATTTTTGATGAGGCCTAGATCAATAGTTGTCTGGAATTGAAAGAGTGTATAGAGCTCTCCTAAAGAAGCAATATCGATCAGACTGAAAAGTATAGAATATAAAAGCATTTGAAGACAATAGCTATCAATCCACAGTATGATGCAGCTTGTTTTAGTGATTTATATGTTGGTGCATTTTTCCAGTTCACATGGGTCCTTGTCAACTGGGGCTTACATGATGGAAGCCGCATCTATTTTGAGGAATAGGTTGTAGCATATGTAAATGTACAAATACAACAGTGGACTGTTCTGGTAAACGATTTTCCAACAACTCTCTTCCAAATGATTTTCCACCAAACATTACCAAATTGGTACTTGCAAACTGCAATCTCTATCAATTAAAGGACAATGAACCATGGCCATCTATACAAGCATATTCAGAATCTGGATATTGCAGACAACAACATTGCTGTTCTAAGGAAAGAGACATTTGCAGGGCTGAATGACCTAAAGCATCTGAGCATGGATTCTAATAGATACTCGGCAAGTAAGGTAGACCCCTATGTGTTCAGTTCACTGCCAAGCATTAAATTCATTTATTTGAGAGGTTTTGGTGATTCTAAGCAAACAGGGAATTGGAACCTAGCCCCAATGCATGGCTAGCAACTTTCAGAGGACTAGAAAATTCAACTATTGAAACAATTTTATTTGAGTATCTAACTGTGAATCCACTAATAATCGCGAAATCGAAATTCAAGCACTTACAGAGTCTACCAATTAAGAGGTTGATGCTAAGAAATATGGGTATCGTTACCATTGATATAGAGTTCATTGAATACCTGCCACATCTGGAAGAAATTGACCTGTCAGAGAACAGCATTCAAATGGCTGTTGAGCCCACTGCAATTTGGAGAACTGTGATACAACTATATAAAATGACGAAATTACGCCGTATGATATTCCAAAAGAACAGTCACCCAACAGACTATAATCCAGATTGTCACCCCCTTTCTAAGAAAATGGCAAAGCTAGAATATGCAATTCCTATTGGTCTTGAAGAAATAGATTTTGCTCATTCACGTATAAGTGGACGTGCCTTTTGCCTTGATTATGGGTTGAGACTACAAAGAAATAACAAACTGACCATATTGGATTTGTCACACATGAAAGTTATCAAAAAACTTGGTCCTCTCTTAGGAATGGTATATTTGAAGGCATTGTATTTCCAGGATAACCAATGCTTCATTCACCCAACTATGTTCTCATGTGTGAAGGGTGCTTTTGAATCTCTGGAGGTATTAAATGTAGCTCATAACTTCATTAACATATCTGAAGCAAATAATACACTTCAGTTGTTTCAGAACTGTTCTCGTCTCCAGCATTTGGACTTGTCCTACAATAACATGGGCAATGTGCCTTCCACAATGTTAAGGGATGCTGCAAATGTGAAATCTCTAAACTTAAGTGGAAACAACCTTCGTGACATTGACCTTGACCTAGATGGAGCAGTCTCATTAGAGACATTGAACATTTCCCAGAACTATTTGAAAATATTACCGAAAAGCCTCCTCGTTAGTATAGAAAACCAAAAAGAAGGATCCATTTTAATTGACATACAAGGAAACTCTTTAGATTGTGGATGTAATTCAATTGAATTCATTGAATGGATGCATTCACACACTGAAAACATTTATGAATGGAGAACACTTGAATGTACCTATCTCAATGGTACCTTCATCAAAATGCACACAATCGATGTACAAATGTTGAAGTTGTCTTGCTGGGAAAATGTTATTTTAGCGAGTGGAATCTCTTGTGGTGTTCTGCTGCTTTTAGTTCTACTCATAGTTTTCACATATAGGCGTAGGTACAAGTTGAACTATTTGTACCTTCAACTAAGAGCAGCTCTTCGACACCACAACCAGGAGAATCGGGACTTCATATTTGATGGCTTCATCAGTTACAGCTCTTTTGATAAAATATGGGGATTGGAGACCTTGTATGCTAAATTAGCAAGTGTGTATGGATATAACATATGCATTGATGACCGGAACTTTAAACCAGGAGCAACACTCACTGAAATCATTGTTGATACCATCAGCAATAGCAACAAAATCATCCTGATTATAAGTCAGAATTTTCTGCGAAGTAAATGGTGTCAATTTGAAATGAACCTTGCAAGAGGTGAACTGGCTAATAGAGGGCGTGATTGCCTCATTCTCATTCTCAAGGAGCCAATAGGTGTTCTACCACCTGAGTTGATATCACCGACACTACGCTCCCTCCTAGAAACCAGAGTGTACCTTGAGTGGAGCGATGATGTTGACAGAATCGATGTTTTCTGGAGAAAACTACGTGATGCTCTTGGTGAACCCATACACCATGAACAACCACCAACTGATACACCATTCATCTATGCTAACACAACTGCTGACCATGCTGACGCTGCTGTGCATAATAATCATAATGATGCTGATGACCTCATCATGCAATGTGATGATGAAGCTCCTTTATTAGTCAATTAGGCTCAGACATAATGTATGTTCAGAATGCTAGTGGGTCGTATTAATTCTATTATATAGACCTTTAATTGGTGTCATATTATTTGGAATATATTGATTTATTTTACTCTTTGCTAGCTGTATATACTACATGTACAGTATATCTACAAAAGTATAATTTTACTGTACTAGCTGTATATACCATTAGCTGTATATGATATTTTCAGTAGTATTCTTTTACTCATTTATTAGCTGTATATACCATTAGCTGTATATGATGTTTTCAGTAGGATTATTTTACTCATTTTTTAGCTGTATACACCATTAGCTGTATATGATGTTTTCAGTAGGATTATTTTACTCATTTTTTAGCTGTATATACCATTAGCTGTATATGATGTTTTCAGTAGGATTATTTTACTCATTTTTTAGCTGTATATACCATTAGCTGTATATGATGTTTTCAGTAGGATTATTTTACTCATTTATTAGCTGTATATACCATTAGCCGAATATGATGTTTTCAGTACGATTATTTTACTCATTTATTAGCTGTATATACCATTAGCTGTATATGATGTTTTCTGTAGGATTATTTTACTCATTTTTTAGCTGTATATACCATTAGCTGTATATGATGTTTTCAGTAGGATTATTTTACTCATTTATTAGCTGTATATACCATTAGCTGTATATGTAAGGTATATTTTCAATTGGGTTATTTTGCTAATTTATTAGCTGTATATATCTAACCATTTTTTATGTTTTATCTTTAATATAATAGACTAATACGTGATAGACAAAAACATGGTCATTAACTTAAATGTGGGACAAATTTTCTTTGGTCCGTTAATGAAATTTTTTTTTTGCGTATTGACAGGACGATAAAGTTAAGGCCAGGGTGCATGTTGGAATTTTTTTGCAATTTTGAAAAGTAAACCACTGAATATTCTAGTTATTCAAACATTCTGAATAATTATCAGCCCTCAATTAATAGTCTAGGTGCACTAATGCATCTTTTGTGCAAGATGTAGATGATGTGTGGAATGAGTTATGTTTATCTGAAAATAGAACATGGTCATGAAATTTCATCAAAGTGCATCCTCACACCAGAATAGCCTGACAATGGTAAAGTCAGATACCGTTGTCACAAATGGCGGACATAACCATCTCTTCAATAAGATTGTCATGAACTGTATGTTTAATAGAGCACCTAGACTAAATTCCTTTTGAATAACAATCAAGCAAAGTGTCTTTATACTCATTGTACAGTTATTCATGTTCTACCATCGAAATGAAATCTTTAATTTAATAACTGAACAAAATGAATACGGGACAACGGACACTGTATTACCGTATGTCGTTGTTGTTGTATATTATTTCAAATTCAGATTCCGTTGTCATTGACGATATCGAAGACGCTATATTTTGGCAATTCACAACCCAATTTGATCGAAATTGGGATTTCACATGATACATTATCACAAGAGCTTAATACATGCACAGAATTAGCGACGATAAAATCCCATGATTTAAGAGTTGAAGCGACGGTTATATCCGCTATTTGTGACAACTGTATTTGACTTTACGGTTGTCAGGCTATTCCGGTGTGACCCTAATCTTAACAATAATATCAACCCTCACAATTGATACAAATCAAACATTAATAAACATAGAAGTCAACCCACGTTGTATACACTCAAACTTCTTGTTTCATATTGTGTCATCTGGTCTCGGTTTCTGGGAATGAAGTTGACACCTAAAATTCTGAACTATCGTGTATTAGTCTATAGGAGCATTGTTACAAGCTGTACATACACATTGATGCCTGGATCACATTGTGACCCAGGCATCGACCAGCCAATTGAGTGTTTTGTTCAGTCATGGGCTTTCAATTTCTTGTTGAAAACCCATGGTTCAATATTGTATTCAATTTTGAACAAAATACTCAATCGGCCTGGCGCCGTAGAGAAAATCTGAGCAAATGTGACCAAGGCATAAGCTGTACATGTATGATATACTTTTTGAGTATGAACAGAGACACCTTAGGTGACATCTATTCAGTGCAGCAATAAACATCTGGCCCTGATGCACAGTATTTGCTTTCACCAAAGTTGAGAAAAATCATTGCATACAAGTACACCATCTATTGATAAAGAAATGAGTTAAAAACATCAGTTGTTATCATTTGTTTGAAATCATTTATTGATGTACCTGAAGCTTTTAGTTTTGATTTATTTTTTCGTTGATTTTTTTGCTTTTTTTCAGATATTAAAATGTCCAACTGGCATGATCTTATAATTAATGTCAATAATAAGTATTGCCAATATGTAGCAACACATAAAATATGCAAGAAGGTTGTATCATTTAAACAGAGAGAAATAGAATATACAAAAAATTCACACCTTTCACTTACTTTTCTAAGAAATTATTTAAAACTTTGATTCATGACCATGCATTTACTTAATAATTTGACATCAAACATCTAAAAGTTGTTTCACCTGTATTTGACATTTGTTATAAATAACCTTAATGGGAGTCTCCACCTTGCCCAGGTAAAACAAAGAAGGGTCATACAGACCTTAGTTAGCAAATATTTGCTCAAGGAAACTCTCAGCTTTCTTCCGATTGAATCTTGATGGTTGTTTCCGAGTTGTTAGGAATGTGTTTGAACTTTTTATGATCCTCATTGGCATGTTTTATATCACCATTTGAGTTTTGGTCCCTATTTGACTTACAGTCTAGTTTGGTTTTATTGTTTTTTTGCAATTACATTTTACAAATATCACCAAATTTTTCTTTGTGTAGCTTTATATAATCCTAACAGTGCTCTCACCAGGAAACATTTGGGGTGTGGGGGAAACATCTGCAACATGGCCATTCAATGGTGATAAATCAAATTTATGTTATATTATTTGATCCTTTTCCATGCTATTATTGTGTATTCAGTCAAGCTTATACTGTGGGAACAATCATGATTTGCCAATAGGTTGTGGTGGGAGCTAAAAAGAATGTGGTGCTGCACCACAGCCTAAAAGCCTAGCGAGAGCCCTGCCTAATTATTTTGATAGCTCTCTCCCTTTTATACTTGAGCCCTGCCTAATTATTTAGATAGCACTTTCCCTTTATACCTTTTTCATATAAAGGTATGTCATCCCACTCTCATCACCTTTGTAAATTGACATATATTTTCATACCACTCTACCCACCTTAGTAAATTTACTTGTACCAGTATTTTATCCCACTCTACCCAACTTTGCCAATTGATATATACTAGTGTTTCATTCCATTCTACCCACCTTAGTAAATTGACATATGCCAGCATTTTATCCCACTCTACCCACCTTAGTAAATGGACATGTACCAGTATTTCATCCCACTCTACCCACCTTAATAGATTTACCTATACCAGTATATCATTCCACCCTGCCCACCTTAATGGATTAACCTATACCAGTATTTCATCCCAATCTGCCCATCTTAATAGATTAACCTATACCAGTATTTCGTCCCAATCTGCCCATCTTAATAGATTGACCCAAACCAGTATGTCAGATGGAAAATAACCAGTTATTTGGCACTAATCATGCTCATGATAGCACATCTTGCACTTCTGTTCACAATGATATAATTATCTGCTTTCTTTAGCAGCTAAGTACAAGCCCAAATCACCAATAATTGTCACATTATGGCCTAACAGGCAAGGATCTATGACAATAATGAGCTGTCCCTATCCAATATAGCAATTATATTTCCATGCAGTTCATCTGAAAGCAATTGTCATATTATATGCTTATATAAAGATGATTTGGGTTTGGGCTTCTATGCCACCAAGAGGTGTCAACAAAATCATTGTTATAGTCACCATTTTTGTGATGGGCACTTTTTACAGTACTACACTTCTACAATTCATGTTCATCAAATTCACAATGATCACAGATGCCTTATATTAAAGATGTGTATTATGTCAACACCAGAAGTAGTGACATTTTGTTAAAGTCTAACTTTTTGGGGATGGTGTTCGGCAGTTGACATTCAGGGTTCAGTGTCTATAACATATTCTTACAATTTCCAATATAACTGGTGGTGACATTTTGTCATGTTAATGCCTTGTTAAACAATTGTTACTGCTAAACATACAAAGAATATAATTCTTATCTATTGTATAGACATGTGCAACTTCATCCACTTTGTTGAAAAATGAAATAAAAGTTTTAATTGGCAGTTATTTTGCAATATCTACATCCATACATATTCCTTACATGCAATAAACAATGCAGCATCAAAGAGTTGGTAATTTTATTTTATTAATTAATTTTGAAGGTCAATGACCTCATTTCATCCAAATGGTAGCAAAATTGGTCCTAAGCCCCCCCCCCCTCCTCACCTGCATACTATTAGCAATTGTCACTCTTTTCTCCTTCCAAAAATATGTCCCTTCACTGTAAGTACCATAAACTGTTTTTTGTTTGTTGTTCGGTTTGTTTCTCTTGTTATTTTCAATCACATTAGATGAATAGCAAAGAATATATAGCTCAGGATACTAAACCAGAATTATATGTTTATAATTGATAGCATGCAGGCCCATTTAACCAAACATAATCTAATTCATGTGACATCAAAATCAGTTAGAATAAATGCAATGACATTTAACCTCAATTCTTCTACCAGAATAATTGGAACTTAATTGGAGGAAGCTAGAATGGCATATGCTTGAAGATTTATAGTAAAAGAAGGAGGAACTGTTATCTGTTGTAAGATTCTTTTGTTATTTAATCGGGGTTCGAGCAACCCCCCTGGCCAAAAGTTCTTTCAAAATCATGCAATTCTTCACCATTCTGAGCACTTTTCAAGTGATTTTGCCCTTTTTAGGTCAAGGTTATCAAAAGCGAATTCCCTGGAATTTTTTTAAAAAGTGAACCCCCTTAGCAAATCCTGGCCTCAGGCCTGAATTAGTTATAGCTTAATTTGTTTTTGGACTGATTGAATATCCGCAGGGATGGAAGGTATAACAGAATGGAATATTATAGTAAGCAAATTCCAAAGAAATGTGTATATGGAACAGCAGTTGTGGATAGCGCAGTGTCAAATGCCTAAATTAAAAAGATGAAAATTAATGATAATATTTATTCTATTGACGCTAATAAATTTGATGAACTAAACACACTGGCTGAATACAGACACATACAAGTAGTAAATTAATGAATTAATCCCAGTGAGTGGTCAGTGTAGTTGGTCCCCTCATTTGATTGCAATAAATACTTAAAACTTTGATTGGGATTTAATCTGGTATTGTTTGTTGTAGTGATTTCTTCAGGGGTCACCATATCCCAAGGTTCAGGGTTGTCAGTTAAGGTTCAAAGGTTGCAATGTTCACCAACCCTCACATCTAGCTCAAAACGGTTGTAAAATCCTTTGGATTATTTAGCATTTGTGTATATAGGGCAAAGTTTGCAGCTATTTTCAGCAAATACATCTTA